CCACAGGAAATAAATCAGTGCTTTAATACCTACAAAATAGAGGAACATATCCATTGTGAACCCAAATAGCTCTTCATTGAAGGATACATTTCAATTATTACTATGCAGTTCATACACATGCTATTGCTCCAATGGTCATCTGTAGTGCTTGCTTTAAGAACTGGTGCTAGACTAATTTTTATTATTATTATTAAGATATTTATCTTTTATATAAACCAATCTGAAAGATAGCCAATGCCCAGTTATTGTTATTTTACAACCTCTTTTAAAATGCTTTAGCAGCCCTGGCTTGAAATAACAGTGCTTCAGACAACAGACAAAATAAAATAATTAATCGCAGTGCAAAGTGCTTTGTCCCCCTCTACTGAGGGAAGGATGTGTAGACCTGAAGAAAATCTGAGTTTCTAAATAACTCTTTTTAAAAGAAACAAAGAAAGGAACATTGTTTTCTCCTCCAGTGTCTCCCCCCCCCCCAGATATTATTCCAGAAACGTTCTTATAAAGGACTGGTCAAAATGTTCTAAATCAGCACATGTCCATTATTGGTTACTAAGTCTTTCAAGCAAAAAAATAAAATAAAAATCTGGACATTAATTCTTCCAAAGCTCAACTGTTACTAAAGTGAGCATATTGTGTTACTGGGAGGTCTCTGAAAATAAAAGAGCTAAGCTAAACTACAGAGGACAGAACAGCGCAACAAGTTTCTGTCTCTTGCTGCTCAAAGAATAATTTCAGGTGGAGGGAAGAGCTTTCCTACCCAAATAACATGACATAACTCAAACACCAGTCTCCCTTTACATTTTCATTAGAGATGAGCAGACTCCTGCAGCTCTGTTCCGTTAAGGGCTCAATGCTTCTCCACTTTTCTAGATTTGATTAAAGATCCATCAGAGCTCACAAACTTTCATGGAGCAGAGCCCCAGGAGCAAAGACAGAAGACTCTTTTCTCCCCGACCACTTTTTATCCCATATTTTCTTCCAATGTCTGTAAAGACTATGGGCACTGAAGAGAACATTTTCTAGGAGTGCACTTTAATTATCGTAACAACTTCACTTCAATCGCTTTTCTGAAGCTCCACTGAAGTTATTATAACAACACTTTTTTCTCTAAACTCCAGAATATCTTTTTGAGGTGCAATTCTTAGCATTAAAAGTTCTCTGTAGCCACTGGGTAGAAATAGAATTTAGTTAAATCAGAAATCCCATGCATTCAATCCAACCAGCAGTTAGGGAGGGGAGTGATTTGATTGCAAAATCATGTCTAACTGAATTTTGCAGTCATCTTTAATAGTAGAGATGAGGGGCAAACCTAAGAGCAGGGTAAGGCCTTAATATTAAGCAAAGCCATTGCTATGTCAGAAGAACAAACATCAGGAATCCATCCTTTAATGTCTGCATTGACTTCTAAAGGATCGCTTCTTTGTTCTCTCTATTACCTCCTTCTGTGTTTTCTGGGCATGTCCCCATTTCACATTCTCATTCTGCTCCTCTTTCCCTTTTAGTTCATATTATTAATCTTCACTCCTCATTATAGGTAACAAGCTAATGTTACCAGGTAATGGAAGAGAAACCTATATGCACAAATTTTCATGCATTTTGCTTATTATATTTTTTTTATTTCTGATGCTCACAGTACTGTGTGTATGGCGGGGAGGGGGATCTCTGCTGTGGGAAGCTTAAAATAGCTCTAGTCCAGAAAGGTCAGGAAAGCTTTCTGTCCTGTGGTCCATTACCAAGTGGAGAAATAATAAAAAAATCCACTTCCTCATCCTCTAGACAAATAGGGATGCCAGCATATGTGGTAAACATGTGTGCACATCCTCACACGGGATGCTGATTGCATTATTTCCTCTGATCTGCTTCTGCTGGGCACTTTCACATCCCCTTCTCAGTTATGCTTTGCAAGCACAGGAAGATGTTAAAGAAGACACAACATACAATTTGTCAATGAGAAAGCTATGTCATTTGCAAAATTGTTTCTGGGTCATTATTCTGGGTCCCTGAGATTTTAGTTTAATATTGCTGCCCTGGAGGGGGGAGGCTGTGCTTGCCTTCCACCCACTTCACACCTCCTACCCTCCTCTTTCGTGCACCTGTTGACTCACATCTGAGTATCAGCTTCCTATTTGACAAGCCTGCAGGACTAGCAGCAAACAGACGCAAAACCCAAGAGTGAAATGAAACAGGACAGTATGGGACGGTTTATCAAGCAAAATCACACCAAACTACAGACAAATAGCAAACAGGCCAGGGAAACGGGCCAACTCAGCATTTGTTTTGCAGCACTGTCAAAGATATCGTGCAATCTTCCTCTCCAGGAGACCAATCAGCAATGAACAAATGGTATTTGAACAGGCAAGGTGACCCCCTAGCACCCAGCTAGAGGCATTTCCTGTCACATTTTTGCAAAATTCAGTCACTTTCTGCCTCAGTCCTGTTCTGTTGTCAGCACTCAACAACCCAAACTATGACAGTGGGGTTCTCTAAACCAGGCCTCAGCATTTAGTAAAGAACTCAATGCCTTCTAAAGATTTGCTAGAGCTTGCTTACAAATGCTTCTGATGCTTTTTTAAATACAAGATTTTAAGAAATCTTTACCTTTGTTGGAACCTGCCTTTCTAATTCAGGAAAACACACCTCTGCTAATCTGCCTTGTCTCCTCCTCCTGCAATTTTAATTTTTAAAAGATCTTCGCCAGATGAGAGATTCTGGTGCTGGTATGGAGGGGAAGGGAGTATTGCAAACATAAATATCCATTACAAGTATTGGTTTGTGCTTGACATACAGCCGCCCCACAAACTGCAACAGGAAGTGGTCACACATTCACAGGGCAGATTGGCATTTGATTTGCTGGCCCAATTAAAGTGCATGTGGATACCGTGCATCATGCCCATACCCACAACATTGAACTGAGAGATGCATCTCCAGAAACTCCTCAAGCCCCCAATAGTAAAGCTTTCTCTCCAAAGCTGAAAATGAAAGTAATGCTTCAATACATATTACACTTCTGTGGAATTATAATGGGTTTGGCAAATTCTATTGGTTATTTTTTTTAATACAAAGGAGGCGATCTGTACATCCCTTTGTTAAAATCTGATTCCTAGTATTAACAGAAGTTGGCCACAAGCTTATCACCACCAGCCTTTGAGGGAAAATGGGTCCAAAGGCATTGGCCCTGATTGTTTTTTCACAGCATCACATAGCATTACAGAATGAGGTATGGACAGGGCTTTTTTTGTAGAAAAAGCCCAGCAGGAACTCATTAGCATAATAGGCCACACCCAACAGCAGAAACTCATTAGCCTATTAGGCCACACCCCTGACAGCACAGCTCAATAGCATATTAGGCCACACCCCCATGTGACCAGAAGTGTGGTCATCCAGCCACACCCACCTTTTGCTTCTAATTCTGTTTACTTTGTTTATTGTCAAAATGATTCCAGGGCTTTTTTTGTAGCAGGAACTTCTTTGCATGTTAGGCCACACACCCCTAATGTAGCCAATCCTAATGGGTTTCTGCTGTTGGGTGTGGCCTATTATGCTAATGAGTTCCTGCTGGGTGTGGCCAACTCGGGAGCCAGCCGGAACTCCGTTCCTGTGCGTTCCTGCCCAAAAATAGCCCTGGGTATGGACATAGCACCCCTCCCAAACATCAGAAGGAAACAAAGGCTGTCTGCTCAGAAAGTCCAGTAGGATGGGGAAAGGGGGGAAAAGGCAATGGTATACAGCTTGGCAAATCAAATACACTAATAGCCTCACAAGCCCTTAATTTACTCTGACCACCTGCAGGGAATGACAAGGACAGCATCTGGGTGTGAACTCTGCAGTCAAAAATTGTGTAATGAAACAGATTAATCCCATTTTTAGTGCAGAATTCATCACCGAAGGGTCTTCATGAGTTAGCCAAAAAAATGAAAGAGTCCTTTGGAGATGGACAATGTTTACTGTGTTGATGATAGTTTAAACAGCTTAACGCCTGTAAAATCACTCCACAAACCTAAGTTAGCTAGGGGGACCTTAAATGGGAACTGCTGGCTGTCTACTTGTTGATCCAAAATGAGGAGAGCCCTGCTATAAGCACTAAATACCTTTACTTTCCTGTCACCACTGGACTAGAGGGCAGAAAGAACAAATGAAGCCATCTGTGGAATAGGGGCTATAACCCCCTCTGCACTTGAAAACAACATGTTATTTTATTTCTTTACTGTAGCACAGATAAGGGTAAACATTCCACCCTTCCTAAGTCTCTTGCTGTCAACCTCTGGGAGAGGTCAGTCAGCTAAAAGTTTTGCTTAACAATTTTACAATAAGGGGAGTTACTCCTTACTAATCCCCTGCCATTTCAAAGCACAGTTTGCCATCTGTCAGGGCTCTAAATGTGAAAGCATGAGCCCAAGTGTAGGATACCCACAAACTACAAAGTTGGACAAGAATCCAATTAATGAGCAGGAAGGCTGGTTACAAACCAGTGCTTAGTACAGTCTCCATTTCACAACCACATAAGCGCCTAGGATTTGTATAATGCTGGCAAATGAAAATGAGATAACATCAGAGTTGTGTGGGTGAAAAAATAAATATAGATTTAATATGAAGGAGAGTTGAAAGGTATGCTTATTGTGCCATTATCAACAACGCTCTGGTATTCATGAGGATTTTGGAGACAATATTTGCACTGGTTCCTATGGAGTGGACTTTTCTCCAGGTAAAGAACTTGTAATAGTCAACTACAATGAAGAGTGTGTTCAAGAAATTCAGTCACTATAACCAAGATTTAAAAAATGTAAACAGTTGACTGTAGTATTAAAAAACCCAACACAACCAATCTTTAAATAAAATCCTTAATGTTACTATTTCCTAATAGGAGGGCAAGTCATCAATACCATTCAATTGCTCCTTGAATTAGGGATTTCATGTTTACCATAGCAGCTCAGTTCAGCATTAGTGAGGTAGATGGATACAGTAACATCATATCACAATAATAATAAACTCCTTTCTGGGCCCTACAGTGTTTTGACTCTTGGGTGAAGAAAAGCATCTAACATGGATACCAACAAATCCAAATAATCTTTCCTGAAATACTTTGCATAGCCTACAGATGAACCAACATGGGCCACCTCCCACATGCTGATGCAACTTTTGCTCAGTTTTGTTTGAGCAAAAGCCATGACATTTCTTTCCCGGTTTAAGTGTCCTATGGGGATAATGAAAGCCCTGCTAAGGTAGAATCAGGTGTACTACACTCAGTCCCCTGGGATTCAGTGCTACCATGCAAGACAGTACCTTTACAGTGTAAAAACTCTTCCCTAGTAGGGGGGCCTCCTTCATTCAGCAGTTCATCAGCCTTCTCTTCTGGCATATGATAACCATTGTGATCCCCAAGGAAGTCAGTTTTCCCATTGCTGTTTGAATATCCATTGACATACATTTTCAGAGCAGATCTCCGGAAGCAGAGTATCTCCTGGAAAGCATACCTAAAGTCTGGGCTGCGGCAGTAGATCAAGGGGTTGAAGGCAGAGTTGACGTACCCCACCCAGTTCAAAAAGATGTACACAAATTTGGAGATGTGATCCGGACAGATAACAAAGACAATGTTGACTATGAAGAAAGGGAGCCAACACAAGGTAAAGGTGCCCATGATGATGCCCAGAGTTTTTAGAGCTTTGTGTTCCTTTAGACAGAACTTGGATGCTCTCCTGTGACTCGCCCTTCCACCATTCTGCTCCTGCAGGGCACTGCTCGGCTGATGGAACCGCCCTTCACATTTGTCTATCTTCTTTAACTGCTTCTGGGCAACCTGGAAAACCCGGGCATAGACAAAAATCATGACCACCAAGGGTATGTAGAAGGAGATGATGGAGGAAGTGATGGCATACTCTGGGTTGGTGAAGAAGTCACAGCAGGTGGCATCCTCGTAGCAGCTGCGGGCCTTTCCCTCCTTGGCTCTGTACCAGTGCATCTGGATAGGCAAGAAGGATGTCAGGATAGAAACTACCCAGACTAACAGGATGACCAGCCGGGCTTTATTCTTAGTCAAGAGGCTTTGATATTTGAAAGGAGAAGTAATGGCAAAGTACCTGTCCACAGCGATGACGCAGAGCGTTTCAATGCTGGCCGTGACACACAGCACATCTATGGAGGTCCAGAACTCGCACCAGAAGTTTCCAAACTTCCACGTGTTCAGCATGATGTGACTGGCTCCAAAAGGGACAACCGCCAGTCCCATGAGGAGGTCAGCACAAGCCAGGGAGGTTATGAAATAGTTAGTGACAGTCTGCAGCCTCTGGAACCTGGCGATGGCGGTGATCACCAGCACGTTGCCAAAGACGATGGCCAGCACTATCAGCGACATGAGGATGCCCATGCCCACGACCCAGCTCTCCGCCGGCTGGGTAGGGCTGCCCGTACTCTGGCCGCTGCTGGCGTTCTCGCTCATCGTCGGGTGCGCAGAGCCGGCGGGGCTAACCGTCCCCATCGCTCTGGGTTGCTGGAAAAGTTCCGATCCCCTTTGCCGCCACGAAGCCTGAGGAAAATCCTCGCCCACCGCACGGAAGCCCAGTTTGTCAGCCCCCTGCCTGACCGACCCGAGGTCCCCGACCACTTAACCTTTGCCGGCGCTCTGAGCTCAGCGGCTGCAGGCACGCTGGAACAGAGCCAGGACTGGCAAGCGCACGCGGGGCTTGGCGGGACTGCGCGCCTCAAGCAGTCGTCAGCCTGGGAAGGAAACGCTCCCGCCGGTGCCTCGGGACGTCCCTTTGGGCACCTTCTGCGCGCTGCGCGGGTAATCTTGGCTGCCCAGGAACTTGTCCGGAACCCGTTATGTTTAGGGGAACATATAGAAACTCCCAATTGTGACGTCAAGCACCCGGCAGCCAATCAGCTGCCAGGAGGGGGACACACACACACACACACACACACAAACGAGGCACAAGCCGAAGCGGACTCGTGCCGCGGGGAGTGCTGCTCGGCTGCTGTCGCTCGCCGTGCCCGGCCTCTGTGCTGCCCCTAATCCGGTCCCAAGTCGCTTCCCGATCCAGAGGGCTCCAAAGCTTCCACTTCGGGCCGCTGCTGCCCGTTGCCAACTCTCCGGGCGGCTCTTGACTATTCCAGCGTGGGGCAGACCTGCCGCCTCCCGGGCTCGTTTCTGCCCTTAGCGTGGCGTCGGTCTCTTCTGGAGGCAACCGCGGTTCCTTCGGCCCTGATCGGCAGCCAGGTCGGAAGAAAGGGCGCAAGAGGCGTGGCCTGCCCCGTTTTGTGGCTCCGGGAAGGGAAGCATTTCGCGGGACAGACAAGATCGCGACAGGGAAGGCGTGCACCCTGCAACGCACCATCGGGCTTAGTCTTCAGGTGCTGGGAGCTGCCAGCCAACCTGAGTCGCGGGCGTGGCAAAGCCCCACCCAGGGAAGTGGAGTCTGGAGAAACGCTTTGCAACACCCTGGCGGCTCTGCGCGGCCTGAATTCTTAACACGACTTCAGTTTAGCACCCGATGTAGCAGTTGGACTCCTGTTCGGTGGCCTTAAGTCTTGTCAACGCGTCGGAAATCCCGACAGAGAGTTTGCGATCAATTCCGCGTTGCTAGGATCCCAACACAAACCACCTCCTGCCCAGAGTGCTCAAGTAGTGGTCTTGATGCCAGAATAGACTGCCGGCATTTGCGAGGTTGGCTCTGATTATTGTGGATCAGTCCACAGAAGGGGCAGACTAGTGGGAGGCCAAAATAGCCCTGGAAAAGAGCCATGCCACTTTTTCTGCCATGCACCCATGGGGAGCCACAGAGCTAGGTGAACAGAAAGAAGTCAGTGCGCTGCCCCTCCTCCCTGGCCTTACCGTGCACAGGCTGGAAGAGCAATGGCACATGCTGTTGCTGTGTCTGTGCTCCTCCTTGCGGGGTGTCTCCATGCACCACTGTGTCAGTGCTGACTGGCTGGGCACCACCAGTCCTGGGCTCTTCCTGCTGGCCAAACCTATTGGCCAAGCTGGGCACCACTGTGTACCCATGCTATTTCTTGCTAGCCACAACAGGCTCAAGCTGGCACATGGTGAAGCTGAGTACCAACTGTCCTGGTCTCAGTAGCCTCAGGGTGCCTGGGGACAGCTCCTCCTTGCTCACTCCACCTGTGCAAGTGTATGTTTCTGGGGAAAGAATGGATAGCTTACATTCTAGAAGAGATAGTCATTGCTGATGCATTGGGGGGTGGGGTGCAGGATCCCTCTCTCTCTCTCTCTGGGGATTTGATTTGGGGTAGAAGATCTGCTGCACTACTGGAGTATCTGCTTGCCTCCAGCTGTGTTCTCCTAGTACATTTGTAAATGAAGCATATACTACAAAAATGCTATACATCTCCAGTGCTCTTTCCTCCAAAGAGAATCAGCCCAGGTAAGTGCTACCCATGGAACTTCTCACATAGCAGGGAAGTAGGATGCATATCACAACAATATGCAACATATCAGAGCTTAAAACCCCCAAACAACCCTTAATTCCACCCATTCATTCTCTCCATTTCTCAGTCACCATGACAACGGATTAATCCCATACCCAATAGGCTCCAATAACCTGATGTAGTGATGAGCAGATTCCCACAGTTTAGTTCTGTTTAGGGTTTGATTTCTCTCCACTCCTGGGGATTCAGTCTGGATGTCTTCTGTCAATGTGTAAGAATTTAGCATGCATCGCTGCAATTTCAAGAGTTCAGTTACCACTATGAGGATTTTTTTGAGAATAGCTTCTTAGAGCCTTTTCAGGTTCTACATTCTGGCATTATAACAAAGCACTTAATGGACTTTGAATCAACACTTAGAAAAGTATTGTAAGCACCAGAATAGTCGTCGGGCTAGTTGGAAGATTGGAATGGGATTGTGTTCCAAAGGCAATTCAAAATTCATCTGTGAATCCCAGTCTGACCTAGACAAATGCTCTGTATTGAGTCAAATGACAATGCTTTTACTCTGACCTAAAGAACCTAAACAGCATGATAAAAAGTAGAGACATCACCCTGCCAACAAAAGTCCACATGGTCAAAGCAATGGTATTCCCAGTAGTACTGTACGGCTGCGAGAGTTGGACTATAAGGAAGGCTGAGCGCCGAAGAATAGATTCTTTTGAACTATGGTGCTGGAGAAGACTCTTGAGAGTCCCTTGGACTTCAAGAAGATCAAATCAGTCAATCCTAAAAGAAATCAACCCTGACTGTTCCCTTGGAAGGCCAGATAATGAAACTGAAGCTCAAATACTTTGGCCACCAAATGAGAAGGGAGCACTCACTGGAGAAGACCCTGATGCTGGGAAAGATTGAAGGTCAACGAAGACGGGGATGGCAAAGGATGAGATGGTTAGACAATGTCATAGATGCAACGAACATGAAATTGAGCCAACTTCAGAGGACAGCGGAAGACAGGAGGGCCTGGTGGGATCTGATCCATGGGGTCGCGAAGAGTCGGACTCGACTGTGCGACTGAACAACAACAACAAAGTTCTTTTGTTGCAGTTCTTTCCCAACTCTTTTTTCCATCATAACATACATCTTTCCTGTATTGTACACTGCACAGTTTCCATGGCCCCAGACAACTAGCTGAACCTCCATCTGGTGATAACTCATTCACTAGAGAATGGGAAATTAACAAGGAGCAGGATATCTTTATAAATGCCTGTAAAGGAGATTCATGGTTTCAATATTGCAGTGCTAAACAAAGTAATACCCTTCTAAACCCATTAATTTCAATTAATTTTAAGGTGTAATTCTGTTTAGGATGGCACTATAAATGTTAAAGATGAAGTTGTATTGCTTATTTTGTTGGGCTTCGGGGAGACTGGGAAGGGGAGCTGAGCAATCCTTAGAAGTTCGCACTTGTAGGCATATTGTTTACTTCTCATCCCCCTGGTTTTGGTTTTAGACAGTCACTTGATGCTGCATATATTTTTCTGCTATTTCCAGCCATTCACTGAAATGTGGTTACTTCACTGAAAAACTCATTTCACAAAGAAGAAGGAAAAAATTGAATGTGGGAAAGAGATTTCTGTGATAACTCAATTCACTACAGTTTGAGGTGGGTAGCCATGTTGGTCTGCAGTGGAATAGCAAGATTTGGGTCTAGTAGAACACTTCAGGTTCATGAAGATTTCCAGGGTCTACGCTTTTGAGAACTCCTGTCATCAGTTAGAGACAAAGGGAGTTTCAACTCTCAAAAACTTATATCTTGGAAATCTTGTTGCTCTTCAATGTGCTACTAGACTTGAATCTTAATTCACTACAGTATATTAAGGATCAAGATCAAATTACTCGGCTTAACTTAAAAACTGGTAAAAGGTATACCTTTTTATAATATTTCCGTAGCTAGGCTTGAGTTCAAAATATACTTCCAGACAGTAATTGCAACATTTATCTTGCAACACCCTCTTTTATGCATTCATGTCTGATCTTAGCATGCTAGCCCTGGAACTGGATCATTTTATTAGTGTAAGGAAAAGTTTCTTCCTGCTTTTAAAAGTGAAGAATAAATAAGACATACGTACATCACTTAATTTCAAAGTAAGGAACAGAGAGCTTGTGGACATGGAGGTGGGTAAGGAGGCAGCTACAGTCCCCATGAGGTGCTGCAAAAATGTGCATGTATAAATGGACTCCAAATTTAAGTAGTAAGTCTCACCTCAAAATGCGAAATGTGTATGTTTATAAACCATCTTCCTTTTAACAACTGAAGGCAACAGCAATAACAGATACAGTGGGGCAGGAAGTAATTATTATAAAGTAGTATGTAATCCTGGAATCTTATTTTCTTTTTTTCACATTTGAACATATTTCAGTGGTTCAGACACAGACACGCAATGTGCTGAACATTTGGCTCCCACAATCACTACCTTTGAACTGATTGCAAGCCAAGTCAATGGTTGATCCTGCACCCCTGATTTCTTATGTTGTGAAGGACGAAGTCATCCAAACATTTTGCCATATGGCAGAATGTTGCCCATGATCCATGGCAAAGTGACACATCTGATCCACCACAGGCAGCAAAAAAGTGATACTTGTAGTGTAAACATGTAGGGGGCCACTGAACAAGAAACAAGGGAAGCCTTCATACTACGTTCAGGAATTAACCATGAAAGTTGCAACTCCACATGGCAGGCAACCTAGTGCAGATAGAACATCCCATGCCATTTTCAATTCAGGCTTCCATCTGCTACACTGCTGTTTATTATTAATCTGTTTTTAAAAAAGGAAGGTAGATGCTGCTGCTTCTTAGACTAAAGAAGAAGCATGCAGGGCAAACTGCAGTATTATGAACACGAAGAAGGAAATGTCCTAATTTCAAGATACATTACTTGAATCTGCTTTTTCCACAATGGATGCATTTTGCAGTTAAAGACCTGCAGAACCTTTATATTAGAAGGACAGTTAAGTTCATCCCAAACCCATTAACAGTGACAGAAATCCTAATTTGGAGTGTGCTGTATTTCATGGTGTGGTAAGCAAGACAGAACTAGAGGGTTCTTCTTTTTAAATTGTGAGAATAATATACAAAGGCCCCTGCCACACGGGGGAAATTGATCCGGGCAAAGTGCGGCTTTTTAAAGCCGCACCAAAAGAAACATGCGGCGGCGGGATCATATTGATCCCCTGAGCCGCTGTGCATTCCCTCCCCGGCACAATCAGATAGTGGGGGAAGCCACAGGGGTGAACGGGCGGCTGCCGAACTGCGCATGTCTGAGCATGCGCAGTTCGGCCAGGAGCCGGGGATGCACCGGCAGAAGGATGCGCCGGCGATCCCACGGCCAGCCTTGATGCGGCCTTTCGGAAAGAACCA